TATTTGGTCGGTTGTTGATAGCGGGATTCGTCCTCTGAGCCTCAGGATAGCACGACCTTTCTCCGACGAAAGCCGTGCTTCCATCTTTTGGATCCATTGTAACACGAGACAGTGGGAAAGTTTCTTGGGAAATGCTGCGTGTTTGACAAAGCGCTGCTCCATGACACAGACTTCTTGGATTGCGCTGTCGAATATCACTGCATATTCTATAAATAGATTGTGTAATAGACCAGAAGGAGGAACTTTGGCAAAGGTCAATTCGCCCAATAAATCTCCCCTGTCGACGCAACAGTCACCTTTCAAGTCGCACAACTGGCTGATTCACATATAGATCTTGTCCAAAAGTGAGATCTCGGACAGTGGTCCAGCTTCTATCTCAGATCGCAGTTCAACTTTTTTGACTTCGGCAGCATTTGAGGATGTCAGAGGGAAAGTGAGTGACCACAGTACTGGCAAGGGCCGAGAGCTCGATCCTTTTGCGACCAATAGGCAAGATAGTTTGTTGGAATACTCGATGATGGGGCTGAGGACTTCATTGTCGAGGCCGGTGTTTGGGCCAATATTGTCGAGTTTTCCATAGAAAGCGACCTCAAGGGCATGGGTGCCAGGAAGGGGGCGGGTGTGGGACAAAAATGCACAACGACAAGAGTCATTTGCCTCACCATCCACAAGGAACGAGTGAGCGTCCCAAGCCGCACCATGGGAAACAATGGTAACGCAGAGGAGCTTCTGTATATGGTTCTGGGAAGCTTTTGCTACAACTGCATAGTAGATAGAGAAGCCATCTACTTCAATCCGCTCCAATGGACCAATGTATGGGCTAGCAGCGACAAGAAAGTCCTCAAGGTTATGAGCAACAAAGGAATGCTTCCACTGCGCATCTTGGCCCGCATATTGGATAGGGGTTTCTTCATCTAGCAGGTGATAACAAGGAGAGGTGATAGGGGGAAACGTCTGAGCCGCAGCCGTGCTCGTCATAGCTGAGCCTGCGTCAGAATCCACCTGAAGTCCCCATTTCAAGCTGATCGAAGTCCCCGCAGCTGAAATCGAGGAAATTGATGATTGACGGGGTCGAAGACCGAGTTCAAACATCAAGCCAGTATTTTCCTTGTCCCAGCGAGGATTCAAACCCCACACGACGGTGCGTCCGACAGAAAGGGCCGCTTCCACTGCAAGCCAGACATAAGGGCCACCTTTTGCTCTCGTCTGGCTGACCAGATTGAAACAGCCCACATAACCAGCCACTATCATCACCATCCCTACCACCAACGAGAACTGAAGGATGCCTAGCACAGGATCTACTGGAAACAATGGCGCAGAATCGATTGGATGCTGTGCTTCAACATCTTTTGGGTGCTGTTGCTGCTGCTCTTTGTGTTTGAGTTCTTCTATGTGCTCTTCTAAGAGCATGCCCTTCTCTCTATTGGAGAGGGGTTTTACACCGCCCTTGGCCTTCATAAGGCGAAGACTAGACGAGGCAATATAGTGTATTCGGAATTGCAGGACGAGCTGCACCGAAACTACGCACAAGAAGGAGCCGGAGGAACGGAGTGAGGGGAAAAGCCATACGTGATTGTTCCCTTGGTTGTAGATGGCGAAATAGATGTAGGGTAGGAGGGCGAGTCCAGACGCCACTGCTAATGTTAGGATGAGATAAGTGTTCCATGGTAAGTACAGGCGCTGGGAAGCATTGGTTAGGCAACAAAGCACCAGATCAGAGGAAGGGATCAGATACGCACCAAACGCTCGGTACCCACAGTACCCACATCTCCGGCCCTCTTCCATCCAGACCAGTGTATGTGCTTGATTATCTCGGGGTCGCTGATATGTTCCTCTTTCATCAGGCGCTCCAAGTGAGCTTCCGTGCCATAATGTTTTGTCCCCCGCTGGAGGGTGATCATGGATGCTACCAACCCCGTCGTACTAAAACCAGCATCGTGCAGCCAACTTCCCCCATCAAAGAGCTTTGTCGTTGTGGCAAGCAAGGTCACAAACGACACCTTCACGACCCCGAGGCCGCCAAAAATGGAGAGAGGGGTTGCTGCTGCGTAAAGATAACCGTTCTGGAGTGCCTACTGGAAAAGATTTAGTACATTCGCACTTAATTGTTGTAATGGACTTACTGGGTCGTTAGTATGTGATCATGGTCAACAAGGACAAACCTCTTGACGAGTTTGACCCATAAACCAACCATAAGCCTTCTCCCGAATTTTCCCTCGACTCTCTCAACCATCTCAACATGACCAACGCATCTGTTGTAGGGGCCTCTCGTGACACGAACCTCGGTATCAATCCAAGGCGCTGGAATAAGGTCTCTCTTCCTCCCAAAGATGTCGAGTCGGGAGTCTTTCTCCAAGGGCGGAGACATGCGTTTCGCGGCATTGACATGACAAGTGGCAAGCGCGTGTTCCTCGGGCAACAATACGGTCAGGATATTCTCGTATCTGATGAGAATGCGACCATATTTCCCACGATCTTTCCCTGTCATTATGATTATCCAGTCATCTTTCTTGTGAGTTTTGAGAAGATGTCGGACTTGGGCAACATGTTTGCCCTTGCTGACCACTTCCTGAAGCCTTTGCTGTTCACGCCGCATCTCCTCTTCCCTCCTCTCTCGCAAACAGCTCTCCTGGGGCGTCTCGTTGGCAGGATGGGGGAAAGCAAAAGGGCCGGCAGTAGGCTTCAAGACCTGTTCAGCATCCACCTTCATGCTCACGATGGCCGTCGGAGGGTCGGATGCCCGGGCTCAGATCACCATGTACTTGAAGGTAACATTCATGCCACACCGAGGGGCCCCATTGGATGCAGTTGGTGATCCAGCATCGGTCCAGATGACATCTTCGCCTTCGTCAAATGACCAACTGGAGGGATAGGGGAAAGGGAAAATGTCGTAGGTGGGGCAATTGGCCTGCCTGAACGCTTTTTCGAGCTTATGTGGGATTGAAGTTGCGAGTGTAAGGTCTTTTTTGCGATATGTAGCCACCAGTAGACCCTCGCAGGCGAAAAATGAGCCGCGGTATCGGTAGCCGACATTGTCGTACTCCTTGGGATTGAAGAGTCAAGGAGGATTGCGGCGTGGGGAGGAACCATCGGTCTCGTTGACGAAGGGATAAATGATATCCTGTTCCTTGCGTTGCTCGGATTTTTCACGTTTGCTGAGGGGAAGCCGTGGTACGAGCATGACGTCAAACTCGTTGTGTTTGCGACTAAGATGTTCTACTTCTGGAGACCTTTACCGAGTTCTTCACCACACAACTTGTAGACGAGTTCCCTTTGTTCATCCTCCATTTGATCGATATCCTTTTGCTGCTCGTGCCTCTGCTTCTTCGCATGGTTGTATTTCAACTTGTTCTGGAGAATCTCCTCCGCCTCTCTAGCCTCTTTGTTGTCCTTCTCATCTGCCAGTATGTGGAGCGCGAACCCCACATCACTGCAATACATCCCAGAGCAGATAGTCACCCATTCTAAAGGCTGAACGTGCGCTCTCAGACGGGTGCTGAGTGCACTACATGCATGTTTCTTCATTTCGCGAATGTGGTCACGATTGATAGTCGGGATGTTAGCGGCTTCGGCATTCCTCCTGAGTGTATGGATACGCTCCCAGTCTCCCATTTTCTCGACTTCGGGAATCTCAAAAGCATTTTCCGATGTTGATGATTGATTGGGTATTGAGCGATACACTGGTGAGTGCTGGGATGCCCAGGAGTAGAAACCTTGAGCATCAGACTGGGGCTCCTTCACCCTATTTTCTTGCCGCTTTTGGGCTGGTTTGGGTGTTTGGGACGGCAGAAACAGGGGAGTTCCTCTCTGCTGCTGGAACGTCGCTTGCGAAGACGGCTCGAAGGAAGGTGGGGAGGGGAGAGACGGTGGTTCAGAGATGAGAGGCAGGAATATCGAGCTTTGTGGAGCTGGGGAGAGAGAGGGTGATGCGGTACGTCTAGACTGTCCTGCTGTTGGCTGGAATTCCGAGGATTGATTCAGCAGAGAAGGGTCGATGGTTTGCTGCAGTCTGGAAGGTTCTTTCGAGAGCTGCCGCATCCCGGAAGATCCTGCTGTGGGTTGTAGTTGAGGCTCGCGTACATAACAAGCAGTGAGGTCGTCACAGAGGGCATCCACAAACGATTGGCGATCCTCGGGAGCTTCGAATGAGAGTTGCGCATGATTGAGAGCAGGATCTGAGTGAGAAGCTAGAGTCAATAAGGCACAAAAATAGTAGGAAGTTGAACGCACTGTTTTCAACATCATCATCGCTGTCCTTGAAATGTTCTTCGACTTCCGATTCCCCTTCATCGTAATCATTATCTCCATCCACATACGCCGTAAGGTCCTGAAATCTGTCAATACCAGTTCTTTTGCGCTTTCCAAGCGCCATTGAATGTTGAATGTCTCGAATATCAAGTAAAGATGGGTAGTAATGACCTGAATTGTGTCAAGACTGTTAGCCTGCCGTCAATGTTGAGCTGGTTATCACACAACGTACTGGATAGAAGGTTGAAAACGTGTTGTCAATCAAGGGAAACCGAACAATGAAACTGAACGGAACGCCCTAAAAACATCGAAATCGTGAGCTTGATTCTGGCAGACATCCAGAGAATACACAACGCACCGAATGAAACGAGAAGGATGTCGCCTGGTGTAGCACCTAGTGCAGAGGTGCCGCAGCCGAGCCTGTAGATTGTCGGTCAGCATTTCTGGCTGCATTTTTTTGTCTTTGTCTCTACGATAAAAACGAAATTCAACGGGGCTTTTTGCCACCGAGTGGTTCTTTCATGAACTTTCAAATTATTTGTATTGTAGTAATTACGACTGTACTCTAAGGGGACGGAAAGACAGCATACTTACCTCAAGAGGGAGTCCACCGCTGTTGACAGCAGCGGGATTGAGTCAAGAGTGGCATGAGGTGGCTGTGCAGAAAACGCGCCCAGGATATGGGCACAAGGATGCAATTCCGTCTGACACCCGTTAAGTGCCCAGGTAGAATCAACATAGAAAATAATTCCTGACTGCACCGAGAATCAAACTGGGACCTGTGGTCACGATGGTTACGTTGCCCATATCATATCCACATGCTCTACCATTGAGCTATACAGTTTTGTATTCCTGGCGTCCTTTGCTGTGATATATACATGTCGGAGTAGCGGGTGAAACACGCATTTCCCGCTGGTGCTTGACGGGTGTCAGATGGAATTGCATCCTTGTGCCTATATCCTGGGCGTGTTTTCTGCACAGCCACCTCATGCCACTCTTGACCAGGCAACCTCAACATCTCTGCAAAGGTAAGTCTTATTTCTCTACCGTCCGTAGTATTAGTTAGTGTAGAACAATGAAATGAGCCCCACCAAACACCTCGAGTGAGGCTCACATAAGTTCCAGAGTCGAAAAGACTCGCCAAAAAGTCGGAATCAACCAAAATCTCAGGACCCGTCATGTTGCCTCATTCAACGACACTGACACTGAATCCATATTAGGTTGGCCCAGGGGTCACAACCACTCGAATCTCTTGCGGCAAATGGTGAGTGTATTGATCCTTGGCAGGATCCCAAGAAAGACTGAACTACATCAACTAGGGTACTACGTGTATTTGAAATACTGGGATGAGACTGTGAACAAGAAGACGAACACACTTCGCGTGCAGCTAATCTACAAGGATATACAGCAAAACAGGGCAGGATAGGCGTAAGGGGAAAGGCTATGTGCAGTTAGGGGAGGAGGCTACGTTCCGTCAACGGTCGACCCGTTAGAGACAGAGTGGCTTGACGGGACTGAAGTCGTCATCCGAGTCAGGCGCGAGTACAATGTCCTTCACTAAGATGAAGGGTGAGTTGTTCTGTATCCTCTCGAGCACAGCGAGTAGTAGACTTACAAATGCCTCTTCCTTTCCGCATAGGACTGTTGGTATCGTTGATATTTCTAACGTCCAAAGCCCTCACTGAAGTGGAACGGTAAGTTCAATCTCATCCTGAGCGCACGAATTCGAAGGCTTACTTTTTCCTTTGCCCTTTCTCAATGAAGAGCTGCTACCGCTCTGATCAGCTTCATCGTCTGAGATATCAAGAGTTCCAAGGGCTGGCAACATAGAGTGAGTGGAATCGCGTGGAGGCAAACATCGAGACTTACATCTCAGTTTCTTACTAGGACATGACGGTGTGCTATCCATGCCCTCCGTCCCTTGCTTCCTCTTTGCTGCTAACGCCGCCAATGTTTTGGTGCTGGTCAGGGTAGAAGATTGAGTGCTGGCATTTGTAGATGTCGCGGATCCAAGGCTGGCCCTGGTGGCAGGGGCGCACTGGTGAAGACGGGATGTGGATGCTCTCGGGGTCCCAGAGATAGCCTTTGTCTTGTGAATGCGATGGTTGTTGAACATGATGGATATCATGTGATACATATTGACGTGTTGTTTACGCGTCACACTATTTATAGAGCTACGCCTCTAGGAACAATTGCGCTCTCATGCAAGAATGTATCTACATAGTTATTGCTTCACAAATGACACTGTAGATATCTACTACGTATGTAGTTACATCGAGTATGATGCTTATAGTCCAAAGTGCAAGGCACAACGGACAAAAGACTCATTAGTATTGGCTAAATACCTACTTCTAGTCGTAGTTTCATAGTCTTGTAATTACTCTTACATGTACAGAAACTTGTGTATAAAAGCTGGTATTCCAAGGCCTTAAGCCTTAGGACAATCTACTTGATTATCACCTCTTCACAAGCATCTCAAGTCTACAAGAACACTCTGTGTATTACCCATGTGAGCTTTACTTTGTTATACCCACTGTGCACTTTAACTATGCTGGCTCAACAGGTTATGGGCCCCGCAAGCGGTGGTCAGGTCGATGTTATGATCAGAGCAGCTAATACTTTCCGTGTGTCGCCACCATCCTAGCGGACGACCTGTAACCTACATGGGTTAAGGAAGTCTCTAGCGATGTTAAAGGCTCGTCATTGACGATTGTCTGGTGTCGGGATCAGGGTTCTTCGTCCCTTATATCCATCCACTCACGTCCCTGTACAAGTTGCATGTTGCACAAACGCATGTACATACTGTCTTGGCTTCATCTTCTTCAGCATGAACCTATCCGTTTTTACGGCTCTGTTCCTCTGCTGACAACCCGGATTAGGCTTTGGCCGTCTATTGCCACTGTCTGATACCGATGAAAGTCTAATGGTTGGCGGTGGTCCTCGGCAGAGGCACCGTTTAGGGGGTCTATGGGACTGTGCTTCTAAACCAGTTTGCCATGATTCCTGAAGGCTGAAACATGCCGGGGAAATTTGATTTCCCTTACAACTAGGACTTTGTATGATACTACTTTTATGGTATCACACGGCCATTTTTAGTATGTACAGGGACTCCCCTCACGTCTGCCTTTCTTATCCACGCTATTGTTAGATTTCGTTCCAGTCTCTAGTAGTTCACTTGTTCGTCATATGCTCAAGGCATCTTCAGACATAGTAACCATACAGAGTAATGGGGGATCTAGTAATAACTTTCTCAAGGCACGATGTTTAAATTTGCTAGTCTGGGATTGAGACCAGATAGCACGATGGACACCAGACACACACACTGGAAGGTTACTGTAAGACCCTTCTCAAGCAGGCAGGGCTACGTAACCAGATTAACTACCTGCACTTACCTGCGCGGTGGATTTCCCCATAGCTTGCTTGACGCATACAGCCTGTTAAAAGTCCTAGACATTTTGACGCATGTCTCGGTGTGCATCGAACCCTATTTCTTTTATGGGTTGTCTTCCAATGGAAGACTTTATCGATTGACACTACTCTTAGCGTCACCCTTCTAATATTTGAAGAGTATGCTCACGGGACTTTTGGCAGACCTCAATATGTCTAACCAATCAGGCTCTTCTATACATTTACCACAATCACCAGGGATCTTTTCAGAACCCTCAGCAATGCCGGTCAAAAATGCATTGGAACACACCTTTAGTGTGGATGTGGGGAATGCAGTAGAAGTATATACTATGGATCCAATTCATTCGCTTGTATCAGAGAGTAGTTTTCCGACTGGGTTGGGAGGCATTAGTTTAATTTCAGTTTTGTTAGATGATGGTTCAAACTTTGAAGAGTGGTACCGATTAATCGAAGGCTTTCTATTCTCACATAGAATTCCAACCATGGTAGAAGAAACAGCGCCAGAACAGTCAAATCCAGCTACGGATGCTGAACATACTGTGCTGAAAGAATGGACAGCCAAACAAGATAAAATAATCGGAATTATTATGATGTGAACAAAGCGTATTCATAAACCACACATTGATAGAACTTCAGTTCTGAACACTCTGGCAAAATTTAGAGAAATCTTTGGGACTCAGTCTTCTTCTCAGTTGCTGAATTTATATACGCAACTCCATAACGTCCAATTCTTTGACAACATAAACCCAGTTCCTGGGATAAACTTTATGTTAATGAATAAACAAGAACTTGCTACACTGGGTGTAACAATTTCGGACGAGCTGTTTTGCCTTATGGTCACAGCTAAATTACCGGAGAAGCGTTGGCAACTCTTCAAGCAGCATGTTACTCGCATGAAGAAAGAAGAATTGAAACCAACAGATATTATTGCTGGAATCAGTAATGAATGGAATAGAAGAAGTGGAAATTCTGTACCTCCTGCTTATGCTGCGCATAATGCCAAAATATCTGGCATTAATAGATATCAATCTGCTCCCAATTGGTCTGGTCAATCAAATTGTCCTGGTAACAAATCTGGTGGTTCTTCGAACCAAAAGAAAAATAATAATAAAAACCAGAACCAGAACAACCAGAATCAAAGTGGGAAATTGTCTTCTAAGAAGAAGAAAGGCGGAAAGAAGCAGAAAGGCAAAGGAAAACAAAAAAGTACTCAAGAAGGGGGGGCAAAAATCGCATGCAGCGGTAGTTGAACCTCTTGAGGAACTTTCATCTTCTGAAATTCGTACAAATGCAGTTAAAAAGTTGACAAGTTCAGCTTTTGAACGTGAAATGGCTGGTCCTAAACACGTTTATATGTCCTATCATTATCCAACTGGTAGTACTACTGCACCAAATCCATTCCAAAACACGTATGATTTACAACTTGCACGCCTAGAAGAGAGAATTGCTGCCAATAGAGAAGGACGCCCAGAGCATTTTATTTCTGTTGCTGAATGGAATGCTAGTTGAACTGCTCAAATAGATGAACAAGTTCAACAAATTGATGAAGCAATTGCTTCATCAGCTTCCACAGCAGATACAGAACAACAATATGACAGTGATGGTGATCCCATGCCAACTCTGGTTGGGGTCTCTTCCTCAGAAAATGATTCTGAGAACTCTTATGGCGTTAGATCACACAGTGAAGAACATATCAATTTCACTATGCCTCATAGACAGGCGAGTCCTGAGACAATTCCGTCTGCGGATAGAATTGAGGAAGGACAGAATGTCAAAGAGGAATCTACAAATATAAACATACAGAATGAAGAATGGCCTCCTCATAATGCATTTGTAAAATATGATCCTTGGGCCACACATCTTTTACCAAGAGATGATCCTGATCAAATATCCAAGTTTATGCCTGAGAATTATAACTCAGACAATAAACCAACTCTTAATCCCACTAATAGAAAAATACAATGGCGGTTCCTAGAGAACTACCTATGGGATACTAAGGGTGTTACGAATGAAATTAGGATTCCTCGACCTCACCCAGAAATATTTAATGGGGTGAGACTTGCGCCACCTAAAGCTCCATGCTTCTATGATATAGAAGATACATGGAGAAATGATGATTGCAAAAGAGATGTGATGGCTAATACTCGAAAATACATGATTAAGAAACAACCAGATCACAAACTTTGGATCTGGATTCTTATCAGAACTACAAATCGAATTGTAATGTACCCTATTCGAAGAGATGCTGTTCATAATCTCACTCCAAGACATGCACTCTTTGAATTAGACTTGCATGAACCAATTCTACATGTAGAATCAGTAGAGGATCAAAGTTTCTTCAGTGACCACAATTATCGAAGCTGGAACGTTCAACATCTTTCTAGAGTCATTACTGATATCAATAATCAAAATTGGATCAGTACTGTCAATGATTAC